ATGCTTTAGGGTACACTGAGAAGGGAAGTTTCAAATTTTGGCTAAAACATGAGAATTGTTTTAGGCCAATTGAAACTGATGCTGATGTTCTTAGCATAGCTGACTGTATTCCTTCAAACTTTGAAGTTCAGTTGTTCATTGAAAAGGTTAATAACTCAGAGGGGGGTACTGAATCTGTCATAAATGATGAAATTGGGATAGATGAAACTGGGGTAGAGTTAAGTGATGAGGGTGATGACAGTGAAGATGATGACATTTTTTATGAGTCAGAGTATGATATGGAGGATGATGATAAGCTATTTGAAGCTTATGTTGATCCTGAAGCTGAATTTGGTGGTTTAGACAAGGGCAAGGGTAATATAGATGAGGGTAGTGAATTCATAAGTGGTGGGATGTTTGATAAGCTATATAATGAAGAAGGGGAGGAAAATCTTGTTGCTAGTGATGATGACTTTGTCAGTGGTGGTAGTGATGAAGAAAGTGTTGGGGTGAAATACCCTAAGTTCAATCCTAGAACTGAAAAAAAAAATTCAGAACTGAAACTAGGATTAATTTTCAGTAGCAGGGATGAGGCTAAGTTTGCCATTGAGAGTCATTGCTTTAGGAGAGGTATGATGATAAAATTTCAGAAGGTTGACAAGATTAGGTTGAGGGCAGTTTGTAAAAAAGATGGGTGTGAGTGGTTTTCCTATGTGGGAAAGATGCAGGGGGATGGTGCTTGGCAAATTAAGAGCTATAATCCAAATCATAACAAATGCTCTTGGAATTATAACAACACAAGCATTAAATCAGGGTGGATTGGGAAGACTTTTGTGAAAAAATTGAAAGAAAATCCAAAATTGGGCACAAGTGAATTTAGAAATGAAGTTTGTACCACCTTAAAGGCCAATGCATCTAGATCACAGGCCTATAGGGCAAAGCAAAAGGCTCTGAAACTGATTCAGGGTACTTTAGAGGAACAGTTTAGCAAAATAAGGGATTATTGTCAAGAGTTAGATAGGAGTAACCCTGGCTCTACTGTGAGAATGCAGTTGAATGATGAAAACAGGTTTAAAAGATTTTATATGTGTTTTAATGCATGTAAAATTGGGTTTAGGAATGGTTGCAGGCCAGTGGTTGGGGTAGATGGATGTTGGTTAAAGGGTAATCATGGGGGTCAGTTGCTTAGTGCAGTTGGATTAGATCCAAACAATAACATCTATCCAATTGCATATGCAATAGTTGAGAGTGAGACAAAAGAGAGTTGGATGTGGTTTTTGAATATGCTGAATATTGATCTCAACTTTAGTGAAAATGAACACACATGGACATTCATGTCTGACAAGCAAAAGGGCTTGATTCCAGCCTTTGAAACCTTGTTCCCAACTGCTGAAAATAGGTACTGTGTTAGGCATCTTCACAGTAACATGAAAAGGGATGGTTTCACTGGATTGGCCATTAAATCAGCCTTATGGGCTGCAGCAAGGGCAACTAGAGTTGAGGAATTTCAGAGGAGAATGCAAGAGTTGAAGGAGATAGATGAAAATGCCTATATTTGGCTAGCCAAAAAACCTCCACAAAACTGGTCTAGGTCTCATTTCACTACCTATCCCAAGTGTGATATTTTGTTGAATAATATGTGTGAGTGTTTCAATAGCTTCATACTTGGATGCAAGAGAAAAACCAATTATCTCTTTGCTTGAATCTATTAGAAACCTCTTGATGACAGAATTCAGATAAATAGAGAAAAAGCACTTAAGTGGGATGGTCCTCTCTGTCCTAAGATTAAGCAAGTGTTGATGAAGACAATGAAAGAAGCTGGAGAGTGCATTCCAATAAGGTCTGATGAGTGGAATTTCCAAATTATGGGACCTTCAACTCAGCACAGTGTTGATGTTAGAGAGAGGAGGTGCAGCTGCAGGAAATGGGATCTCACTGGAATCCCTTGTAAACATGCATGTTCTGCTATCTGGTGCAGAAATGAAGATCCAGAATCTTATGTGCACAATTGTTACAAAGTGGAGACCTATCTGAAATGCTATGAAACTCCTATCTTTCCTTTAAATGGACCTGAATTGTGGCCTGCCAGTACAATAGAGCCTCCATTACCACCCAATTACACAGACAAAGTAGGTAGGCCTCAAAGAATTAGGAGGAGAGAAGCAGATGAGCCACCTGTTGCAAAAAATCCTCATAGGCTGGTTGGAGTTAAAAGATCAAACAAGTGCAGAACATGTGGAGGCACAAACCACAACTCTAAAACATGCAAAAAGAGGAAGTTTTCACAGGTTCAAGAAGGGAGCAAGGGTGATGGTATGAGTGCTGAGCAAGGAAACCAAAGGAAATGAGTTGAAGCTTCAACTCAAAGCTCAGTTTCAACTCCCACAGTACCACAACCACCAATTCAGACTGCAAAAGATAAAGAAAAATTACAGGTTTATAATTGTATTATTTTTTTTAATTTCAATATCTCAATTTATATA